TTTTGTAAAAAATTATATAAATTTTATGAATTTAAATTTTTTAAAGAAAATATATAAATATTTTTCAACTTGTTAAAAAAACAAATATATAATAAAGATAATTTGGTTAAATATACATTCTATTAATCTTTTATTCTTTTAACCAAACACGATAATCTTACATTCCTATTAAACTAAACAAACACAAAATATAACATTCTCAGTAATCCTATTTCCTGATAATCTTACATTCTCACTAATAATCTTACATTTCGTGAATTAAACGCACTCTAAACGAAAGGTATGTACGATTGGCAAGGGAATTTCATACGTGAGATGGACAACTGGCATCCTTATCAAAATATCTTCATTTTTTTTTTGTTCTTTTTTACGTTCAAGAATGTTGTCCAGACTGCTACAAAATTTCTCCTAGTCTCCTTACCTAGTATGTTGTGGTAATTCTCCACTTTCATTCTGCCATATTTACCTGCACATAGATGGACAATAGGCAATGATTGCTAGATTGTTTCCCACGTTATCTCCTCTCCTCAGCCCTTACTAAAATAGAAATAAAAAAATCAGTTTCCTAAAATTTCTACATTTAATAAAATGTTTTAAATAATTTTAAATGAACTTAAAATTTTATTTTCTAAAATTTATATATATAATTACATGATATATGTGTATTGTCAATTGATTTAAAAAGTTTTAAATAAATACTATTTTATAATTATTCATCAAATAAACAAAAACTTATGCAATGTTCATCAACACGTATAATTGTTTGTATACTAACGTCAGACACTAAAACTAAGTTAAAAAAATTGAGAAAACCATAATCTAAATCTAGATAAAAAAAAATTCTAAAAATCTGATGAAATCGAATCCATCAAATAAAATATAATGCTTTATTTATTTATTATACATTCAGGACTAAAGTGATGATAAGGTTAAGACCTACCGCAAAAGCTCTATTTTTGTACAATAAATAGACCTTTCAAATTAATGCAAAAAGCTCTCAAAATTTCTCTTTCGATAACTTTTTTTTTAACCAGAAAAACCTATTTAATGGCCAATTCCAAGGAAATCAATGAAGGGTCTGTTGTTTATTTTTTTCATTAGCAGCATTTCCACTTTTCCCAGACATGATGGTGTGGTTGTTCTGACTCGAGCCCACTAACTCAGTTGCTGAAACCTGTGAGTTTGAATCTGATGAATGAACAGATTGGTCTACACTCATTACCATTCGCCCTTACACCATTTCCATTGATATAATACTAGCCAGAATCCCCATTTCCAGAAAATGTTGAAGAAGAATAAGAAGAAGATGGGTTTCTTCTTCTATAAAAACTTGATTTCTGTCTATGTTTCCTAGCCATGATCACATGCCAATTGTTCTTCACTGCATTATCAGTTCTACCGGAAAACAATCCATCAATCATTGCCCATCTGTTACCGTACAATCTGTGTAGCTAAGAGCCTCGAACTTGAGTTTTAGAAAAAATTATTCAAGTTACTTGGGACACAACTCATCGAGTTATCATCTTTAAACAGATGGTCAGGCTTAACATTTTAATGGACTATCAGGCCAATCAGACAGACTAGCCTCCCCTATTGGATGTTACTCAACTATGTTTCAGAACCCAAAAGAGTTTTTCCACTAATAAAAGTTCCTTTGAACTTGTGACAGGTCAGAAACGTAGACTTCCTTATACAGTATATGAGACTTGTTAGGAGAGGTACCCTCGTGCCTTTAATTTTGTGGGAGAGTGGAAACAAAATAGTAAGATTACAAAGGCTTACTTGAAGAAAGTTGTAAAACATATGAAGAAGCAGGGACGAAGTTACGTAGGAGATGAGAGGAGCAATTCCCCCCCCCCCTCAATTTTAATGGTTTAATTAGTTTTAGGTCTCTAATATTTTTTAAATCATTATAATTAAGTCATTGTACCTCCCAAATTCACTCGTTTAATAAATTTTAGGACACTTTTAGTTTAAAATGAAATTTTGAGTTCTAACTTTTTTTGGTTTAATTACATTTTAAGACTTCATTTCTAAAATTAGTGAAATTAAATCACAATTTCTTTAATTTTTATGGTTTGTTTATTTCAAATTTGAACAACTTAACCCCTTCACAGTTGAATCCTGATTTCGTCCATGTGAAGAAGTGTTCATTAGCAATAAAAGGGATCTGCATTTTCAAGTTGGGGACTTGGTACTTGTTAAGTTGATGCTAGAACAACTTAGATTCTTGCGAAAGAGGGACCGTCACTTGGTTTCCTAGGTTGCAGGAGGGTTCTGGTTCCAGTTGTTGGTCTCGAGGTAAACTTTTTCGAAGCAAGTTTAAAATAAATACTAATTTAAAGAAAAGTGAAGATGGTGCCCTGTTAGCTGGTATACGCATGCATGTTCTGTTGTGGAAATGAGGAGATTGTCGGAGTTAGTTTATTCGCTGCGCCCATAACGTTGTATGATGGGCCATCTTTTTCTGTTGGTGGATGAGGTGGCATTTTTAGTGAGCCAGACCATATTGGATGACCTTCTCCTTTTTCTCGATTTTTTGAAGCTCCACTAGTTGAAGTTTCAGCTTTTTATGGCAGAGTGGAAGGTAACCGGGTTGAAGCATCTTTGGTTAGCAAAGTGTTAATACTTCCATTTTAGAAGGTGTTAGTTATTCTGTCGTGGGCATTTTAGAGTCTGGTGGCTGCAAATCTTCTTTTATTCAGAATGGTTGTTAGGCTATTCGTTGAATCAATTCCTTTAATCATAGAAGAAGTAGAGTGCATAGGGCAGCAGGGTGAGGTTTTCAGGAGTTTTTTCCTTTGGAAGTTCAGCAAGTGTTCTTTGTGCTTGCTTTCGTTTCTTGTTAAGGTGATGTTGTTGTTTTGGGGTTTGGGCAAACTAATGAAGTTCTGTATTCTAGTTTTATGTTCTTGCACTTTCCCGAGTTTCTTTGGTAGTTTGTGCTTTGTGGGGAGTTATTTTTCTTCGGATTTTCTGTATGCAATCGATGTCTATCCTTTATGTTTGCTTTGCTCTTTTGAATTTCGAGCTTCAAAGTTCTCCTTTCTCTAATGGATCAGTCTTTTTTAGTGAGTTGCTTTGGTCTCAGTGCTTGTCTTCGATTTAAGCTATGGATGCTGTGGTTGTTTCGTTAGAAGTGTTTATCCATGTTCTTGGTTATGTCATTTGTGTTTGCCCCCCTTTTCTAGTATTGGTTGGTATGGGATGGCTTATTTTCGTTTTGCGAGGGGAGTGTTGTAGGGATGGGGGATGGATTGTGTGATGTAAATTTTTGTGGTTGTTGATCTTTACTACCTCAATGGTATACTCTTTTTCCTCCATTTAGGATTAGGGAGGTTTTTTAATGAGGTCCTTGAGGTGGTGTACTTTGTAATTCTTTCTAATACAAAGTACCCTATTTTAAAAAAAAAATAAAGGTCCGATCTTAATAGTGACAAAGGTGGGAAATGCTTCTTACAACATCGACCATTCTGATTGGGTGAAAATTTACTCAATCTTTCATGTGAGCAATTTGAAGTTATTCCATGTTGACCCTAGTGACGCCAATTAAAGTCAGAGAACCGAGAAGTCGATTTGTGTACAACCTCTCTACAGCATTATGTTGATGAGATTCTTGTTGATAGAGTGATTATGGTGGGCAAAAAGTCAAGACGAGAATATCTAGTTAAATGGGGAGGCCTAGATCCTGAAGAGCATAGTTGGGGGAGATAACATGACCTGAGAACATTTAGAGAAAAGATCGAGGATTTTCAAATAGTCTAGTCGATAAGGGCGTTGACAATTTAGGTGGGGTAAATGTTGTGGTCATCCCTTGTATAGGATGACGATCGGGTAGGTATGCCAAGGCCAACCATGTATAGGGCCTATTGACAGGATAAAATAAGCTTGTCCTCGTTTCAGGCATTTCATTGTTTTTTAGGTAGGAAACGTGGGTAAGATAGATGTCCCTAGTTTCAACATTTTAATGTCTACATGTATCATTTTTGTTATTTTGTTTTTGCATATATGTAGAGGTTGACAGTCGTCATAGTTTGAATTGATCCACCGGTAAAGGTACATGTCTTGTGAACACTTTTGAGGGCCGCCCCTATGGCCTAGTCGATGGTGTGGGTGGGTCTTCTATAATCCGATATTATTCTATTAATAATATTTTTTTCCTTCAGATGAGTCTAAGGTTGACCGTGTGCATTCGCTATACCCCACAGGTTTTGCCTTTAGTCTGAGTCTCGTTGTTGCGATGATCTAACTCAATATGTGTTTGTGTTTGATCATATATTCGAGATAAAGGCTAACTTAACGAAAATATTTCCCTTTCAAGTGTCGCACGAATTAGCAACCTAACCAACTAGACCATGTCCATGACACTTGACTGACAAAAATTCGATGAATTTACCGCAATAGAAATGTGATTGATGGTCATATGATCAAGATGACATCTACTCAATATCTTGAAACATTTCTTCTCGAGAATATCTTAGTGAAGCTTTAGTCTTAAACTGCACAAGACATTAGTAATTTTCTTTATTGTATTTAGAGTTTGCCTTAACAATATGACTCCTATCTCGTCTTTATTAAGAAAATAAATTAATAAAATTCTAAAATATAAACTTAACTAAATGAAAAAGGTAAAATATAATTATTTTTTAATAATTCAAAAACAATATTACACCATTAATCAAAAAATTATAATAAATTTAAATTTTAAATATATATAATAATAATTATTTAAATACTTCTCATATTTAGTTCTCATTCCATGCTCAGTCCCTTTCTTTCCTCAACCTTTCCCATCAATGCCTTGCCCATTGCCACGCGGTCGTATTTTATTTAATTAATACCAATAATTATATTACCTTTTATTTATTATATTTAAGTATTTTATATGAATCCATATATATAAATATATAATAATTGCAGATATCAAATTAAAAAAAAATCAAACTACACCATATAAAAACACATACGGTCTCCCTTGACCTTCCTTTTTCTCTGTAGCCATGGCTTCTTCATCCACGCAAAAATTTGACACCCTACTTTCCACAACCAAATATCCTTCTTCCCGGCGAACGCCTTCGTTCTCTTCTTCTTCATCGTCTTCGTCTTCATCAGCAACACTGTCACCTTCACTTGGATCCTCGCATTTCCAAGATGATTCTCCTCTCAGTCCAGCTGCTCCAGTCCGGTTTTCAGGCGTACCGTTTTCTTGGGAAAGTTTACCTGGTATCCCCAAGAAGCTTCAAAACCACAAGAAGAACGAATCCATCAAGTTGCTTCCATTGCCACCTCCGGCTACTCCACCAACCTCCAGGAAGAAGATATTGGGAAGTTTGCTATCCCGGAAGAAAACTTCCATCGCCACCGCCGCCGCAGCTGCTGCTGAGAGTTTCCGAAAGGACCCATTTTTCACGGAGTTGGTGGAATGTTCCAAGGATGACGACAACGACGACGACGATAGCAAACTGTGGAGAGCAGCTGGACTAGGAGCTAAGGTTACAAGGAGTATCAGCGACAGGTTCGGGTTCATTAACCTTTGTTGTAAAAGAAGTTGTTCAGTTTCAGAATCAATAGTCTATCTCCCGACGGCTAATTATGGCCTAATTCATCGTCCTTCTCGTTAAATGCAACACCCATTTGTTATCATCAGTTACCGGGATTACTTAATCATGGTGTTAATAAAACAAAAAAAAATAGTTTACATTTGTTTTCTTTTTCTTCTGTTTTTGTATTTTGTATGCAAATATGATGGAGAGAATGATGGATGATGATGTGTTCAAGACTGAAACTCATCTGTAATGTTGCATGTGATGTTTAATGAGAATATGAGTGAAGATTACATTACTCCATGTGGGAGTAATATAACGCAGAGCTCCGTTGGACCACCATAGATAAAGCCTGATGGATCTTAATCTTTCGTAAGTTAAGCGGTGATTCTGTATCCATCACCTTCTTTATTATTTATCCATTTGTTCTCTGCTACCTGCACTGTTGCATATATTTTACTCTACTCTTAATACTATAAGCGCAGACTTATTATCTTTCTTGTAAAATTTCAGTTGATGGAGCTGAAAGTTTTATGAGATATAGTTGACTTGTGAACTTCAAGGAATTAAGTTATAGCTGAATTGATGCAAGGTTCAGACCAAAACGCCGTTACGGTATTCAATTCATTTTTAGAACTATTAATTAAGTTTGTTGAGATAGGCAACTAGCTAGACTTAATTGGCTTATCAGTGAAGAGTTAATTCAAGTAGATGAATCTTTTTAATATCCTGTTTAATTAAATTAATTATTTCAAGTAGATGAACCTTGAACTTGTAAATCAAAAGGAAGCTTATAGATCAAAATAATATGGTTAAAGTATTAAGAATTTTGATGTTTTAAGTTCGATTTAAACTGTGTATGACATTAACCATTAAATTTGATTTACAGAAGATATGTATCTGTTTCTTTATTGCCATCAAAGATGGGTGATTTCAGCAAAGAACATGGATCTAAATTACCACCTCTCCACCTTGTAAACATGAATTGCAAAAGACAAGCGCAAAATTGATCTTTACACGCCTACAACAAATCCCATTGGTCATTTTGCATTAAATTCTATTAGATCAAACACAAGATTGATGACTCGTTACAAATGGATTATCAAATACCAGGAGAGTAAAGTGTGAAGTATAGAAAACAATAAACTCATTCTGTTCTTGCGTTTCTCCCACCTTTTGTACTAACTACCTCACACAATCGGCACGGCAATGTGTCGAGGCTCGTTGCACGGGCCTTTGCATAGTTACCTAATACACCACATCTTCTCCAGGCATGGTACTCTGCATAAGCTACAGGATCGTTAGCAAGGGCTTTCACGTAGGAAGCCAATTCCTCCATGGAGCTAAACTTGGTTCCATCTATGATTGAATGTGGAGGGACAAAGTCCAGCACATTAGGAGCTCCAAAATAGATAGGTACTGCACCAGAGTCCAGAGCGTAAAATAGCTTCTCGGTCACATAGCTCTCTGTAACAGTATTTTCAATTGCCAGGACGAATTTGTAATGAGACATGGTGCAATGTAAATGGTCCCACCACTTTGGGTTATTGGGATCATTTGCACACTCAGGGTAGAAGGAAAGGGCCATGTCTAAACCACCAACATTGTTCAGGCATTTGCCAAAGGAGTGATGAGGCAGCAACTTGAGAAGACTCTTAGCAAGCTGGTTTCTTCGAGAAAGGCAACGTGATGAAGACCAATAAACAAGTGTATCCTAGAAAAAAATTTAAAGAAGAAGAAAAAAAACCCTAATGTGATTACAACCATGTATTTATCTAAGGGGATTATTGAGGTGAGGCATGAACGAAGAAATATAAGCCAGCTACTCACATTGTTCTTTTCTGATGATATGTGATAATTTCGTCCATTATGAAAGAGAGCACCAGCATAAGTTGACTGAACATCATCTTTTGCATGGTAACTGAATATATCCTCCCGACCAGAACGCTTCCTGCCAGCCTCAAGGTCCATGTACACACGAAGTGGATCTCCACTGTGCCTCTAAACAAAAAGAAAAGAAGACTATTTCAATTGATGCTGAAAAATATTAATCAACGTTGGATGCATAATTGTCTTAACAAGCAGAAACAGGAAACCAAAGCATCCATGTGAAGCTACTCTAGTTGAATATTGTAACAAGCCAAGGTGAACATCTTTCTAGTTCTGTTGACCAATATTTTTGCTGAGCAAGAGCACGGGCATATCGAAGAATAAGGCAAAACAGGACATTAATTATAGAGGATAAAGAACAGTAAGTCAAAAGGACTTAACTGATGTTTGGCTGGAAGAAAAGCCAAGGTGAAAGATCACTTCTATCTCTCTAGCATCTGTTCATATGGTAAGGTCCTTCCAACGAAGGACCTCTGGTTTGTTACAATATTCAAGAAGATAATGAATAACATGACACTAGTTCAGCCTTTGGTAGGAGCAGAAATAGCTTTAATTGGCAGGATTTTCAAAAACGTGATGAATTATATCTTGTATGTTTTTAGATTTCCTCCCCTTCATCAAAAGGAATGCTTCTGACAATTGTTTTCTCTAACAAGATACCAAGAAGATTCTTTGGACAATATTTTCTATAGACTAGTTATTTTGAATTGAAAGGGGGAAATAAACAACCACATTCATGTAATGACCCAAATTTTGAGTCAATGTTGGTGCGTTACGAGCTTCGATAATCATGGATTATATGTACGTTTGGGTTTGTGGACCAAGTATTGTGCTTAATTGGTTATGGATTAGGTCAAAAGTGGAGAAAAAAGGATATTTTTAAATAAAGGTGATAAGAGGAAAGACTTATAGTGTGATTAAACCATTTCAGCTTAAAGTGTGCAGAATTTTGTTGTCTTTTACGTGGGTTATTTGGGACAATGGCTGAATATATGTCATCATCCTCTCTTATTCGTCTCCAGACCCTTTTTTCTCGTTCTATGAGCTCCAAGATATCTTTTTAAAGTAGATATCTTTTTAAAAGTAACTGCCCCTTCCATATCCATCAAGGTAATATTCTTCTTCCTTTTTCTATGAGCTCCAAGATGAGTTAATTCCAGGTACTCAACGTTTGAGGCCTATATACAGCTTTGTCAAACAACTTGTACTTATGCAACTCTTTGATAACAACTATAACTTGTGCTTATGCAACTATCCTTCAAACAACAACAATAATTTTGTGGATAACTCAACTTAGTATGTGATATTTTTTCGATCTGATATGTTAATGACTTGTCTAGCTTATGATTTATAATCTGATGCTATTAAGCTTATTTTCCATAATGTGTCTGCTAAAAGGTAATAACTACCTTTGTGGTAAGAGTCTAAGTTATACTCCAATGTGTGTGCCAAATCAATGTTATATGTCTTCAACACTTCATGTTGTATATGTTGAGTGGTGTGTATTATTGAGCTTTGTAAAGCAAATGTTAAAGTTATTACTCCTCGTAGGTAGTTAAATTTGATCATGTTCAAGTCAGGGCATCGACATATTTAAGGGAGTTCCAGTAGCCTATATCTCTTAGTACTTATTTGCTTTAGTTAAGCATGTATTATTCGTATAACCCTTAGTGATTTGTGTTTGTAAAATCATTTGGTTATTCTAATTATTTTTGTATAATTGTTTATTTGTGGGACTTTACTTTTGCAAACTATTTTAATTTGTATGTTTTATTAATAAATCAACTTTAAGTTATCATAAATTGTTTGATTTTGAGAAATTATTTTATTTGTGGGTCCCTCTGGTGAACCGAATGTGACAATGTGCCCGTTAGATATTTCAAGTCGAATTTGGGGTGTTACAAGTTATGTGGCATACGAGATAAGTATGTAACTTTTTTCCCAAGACACATTGTCTTGGTTACAAAGGTCTCAATGATCTATCTGCTCCTTAAAGAACAAACTAACTACTAGAAAGATAACTGAAATGGATTCTTATATAGTGAATTCCCTCAAAATGGATTCTTGCGAACATAATTCTCAACAATATAAGATTATGCATGGAACATGCTATAGAACCTTGTTTGATTACTATCAACAGATATGTTCTTAGGATGGGTTTCCATGACTCTTATTAAAGATGCAACTGGGTTTACTAATAAAAGACATATTTTAGTCCGTTGCCTCTCTTAACAGACCTAACTCAAAATACCCTCTTTGGTCATATACCCTAAAAGTTTTGAACAATGTTCATGCATACTGATTTATCTACTGCTCAAATTAACAAATGGTTAAACGGGAGAAGAGACCTTGACACAACAAAAAGTAAAATCTCCTAGGTTAAATCGTTGCAATCTATCCAACTGGTTACTAAAGTTGTTCTTACTAACAAAATAAAATTCCCCCATGTTCCCAAACATCTTGTTCAATGATATTGTGATGAACTACACACAACGATCTTCTTGTGATATGAATTCAAAGAATACCTCAGCTTTTAAATCCACAAGTCAAGTAGATCAAATAGAATCTTACCCAAATAGCCATTTCAACTCCATGATTTCAACTTTAATCAAGCAAATAAATCAAAATTTTCTATATTCCATTCAAGCAGCAAAGCCAAAGCCAAAAAAAAAAACCTGAAATGGAGGGGTTGAGGTCTCGAACAAAAGGGCATCAGGTTTATCAGAGAGAACGGAAGATTTGGTCCACAGGCAACTCATCCCACATCGACAAGAATAAAAATTATCCAAATTATCAGGAATCCAAGTCCATCCCTTTACCAAAACACTAACATGCTCCATTTTCAACTGATTGCAGGAAGACTCGGCACCAGCTTCCTGCAAAGACCCAGAGCTGTTAGAAATCAAACGGATCAAATCGTGGTGTTTGAGTTTGAACCGTGCACAACCCATTTGAGAATCCCATGTCCTGAAAGCAGAGAGCAGATCGGTGAAAGGGTGGGGACTGGAAGAAAGGGTGAGGGAAGGGGTGGAAAAGGGTTGTTGGATAGAGGAGGAAACGGAAGGGAATTCGAGGAAACCGGAGAAGAAGAGGATCAAGAAAGTGAAGAACAACATGAGCGTAACGGTGAAGGTGTTGAGAGGCTTCAATTGCATGGTGGGGGTGGGCAGAGTAATTGTGTCACTTGGCTTGTCCTTGCTATTTGTAAAAATAAA